TCATTGGTTGGTGTCGATACTTAAGGTTTTGGCATCAAAAAATAAAAAGTCTTACTGTGCTATCTTTAGTTGTATCTTGTTCAACTATTGATGTTACAAGAAGAATAAGCTGGTGGTCAGTGTACTGACTTAACACTATACGTCTGCAAATGCTGGACGTGAGCCAACACTCCATTATTTATGAAGTGCTAGAATAAACACATGACTTCTGGGACTAAATGTCCATCTTGAACTCCTTCGGCATGTATGGTATGTATGAAACCCTGTGGCAGATGTGGTCACTTCGTCATCTCTCTCACTAAGGAGCTCCCGTGAGGTGGAGGTGATGTGTACCTGGCAGTTTGGGATGGACACGGTCTCACAATGGTGGAAACCAGCACACTTCCCCAAGGACCAATTCCAGCTGTGTACACAGAGTGCAAAGGTGTTGAATGTGCTGCGCGCTACACGTCCGCTGGGAAACGGCGACGTGGCCAGACCACCCAGGGCTGAGAGTTGGGTCGTGGAGGGGCTGGGGCACAGAGTAAGGATCAGGCTAAGCCCTCTCTTCTCCCCGCTTTCAATCCTCTGGCTTTTCCCTGGATTTCTCTTTCATACTGAAACGGATTGAGTCCTGGAGCAATTCACGCGGTGGTCCTTTTCTGTGTGTGGTATATTAAGTGACCAAACTTAGGTCAGTGCAGTTAAACAGTAGAAGAATAGTAATTGAAATTCCTCTCTACAACACCAGCTTTGCATTAGTAGTTTGACCCTAGCTGTTACACAATGGAGATTTAGTGTTGTAGGCCAGTAAGCGGTTATGCCATCGAAAGAGGTCATTTTTCAATTTATGGACATTGTAATTATTCAGCCCTTATGAAAACTTTGGGCCTTCTCAGAAAAGGATCTTGTTGAACAGAAATGGGCAAACAGCTATGGAATAACACAATGTATGTGCCACAGGCATACGATTAAGAGATTGGAATAACAGTCTGGATGTATGAAGGCATCAGAGGTTTGGTGCTTCTGGCCAAAGTCATCTCTTTGTTTTTCAGGTCCAAAAGAAATAAGGCATAGTGAGCTAACGAATGAGACAGACATTTCCATTGTAGCAGGTCGTATTGTCATTGATACTAAAACCAGCCCTTGATTAGCTCTGTCAGAGGAACATTTAAAAGTTTTTGTTTCTTTTTTAATAGTTACACACTATTATGTTTGACTCTTTCATTTGGGCAACACAAAGATTATTTTGTTGGGCCTGGTCCAAAAATAGACATGCATTTTAATAGAGTTCCTAGTGACTGCATATGTTAGTCCAGGATAATGCAATAAACAATTTCACAAAATAAACTTAAAATAAAATAAATATTGTGATTATATTTCACTTTTAAAGGCCAGAAAGACCAGAACAAGGTTTCAAAATTATGAAGCAGTAAACCATAAAGCACAAGCAAACAGTAACAGATTATTCATATTACGTAAAGCTAATTTGTTTTAATTTGTCTCAAACTGCTCCCCAGGTAGTACTGAGGGGATTACCGGTTTGTCAGTGTGTCTGAGAGATGGTTGCATTTTTACGTGGCTGTCTGCTGTCTGCTGTCCTAGTGAAGACGTTTTGCTCCATGGGGAATGTATCTGTGTATGTCATCATGACCTGGCTACCAGTCATCATGGTCTCAGGTCATGTCTGGAATACAAATCTACATGACATTGTGCACACGCACACACTAACGCACACATGCACACACACTACTGACAGAGACATACAAGGCAGAGGCACTGAAGAATTTGTGTGTCATTTATGCTCTAAAATGCAAGGAGGAGAACTGTCTGTTTGTGTTCATGCATAAATCTACATGACAGCCACTCAGACAGCCACTGTCTCTATCCACAGTCAGCCTAGTCCTCTGGGAATCAGGAGGAGAAAAGGGGTTCTAAGTGTTCTCTGACCTGTGGCTAAAAAAATCACTTATGAATTGAGCCTGTCATGATTACTCCATGACCTTGATTGGGAGAATAAAAAAAGTAATTGATTAAAATTCACCTTCTTGATAAATCTGCAATGATTAGCGGTCACTTTGCATGATGACAGTGTATGCTTTTAATCTTCTTACAGATAGAAAGAACCTAATGGACTCATTCATGTGCATTTTTACCCATTTCTTTAATAAACTCTTTTCAATGGCTTTCTAGTTTATCTTTTTACAATAAAACATTTGGAACGTCTGAAAGGCTATGCATGGTTTGTTAGGTTTATTGTTTAATTAATAACAGTAGATTGCCTGATTACTAATATAATAAATCGTGATAGAAAACATAGTATTGTGATATTTAGTGTTTAAAAATTATATTGACACACAGAGACTAGAGCTGAACAATAATCATTTTTAAATAGAAAATGTTATTTTATAGAGTGCATTTTTCAAAACACAAGGACTGCAATTTAATTATATCTTCAATTATTTGGCATGTTCTTAACAAATTTTACTTGGGGACATTTAACCTAATAATAATACAGACCTTGTGAACTGGCAGTCTGGCACATTACAATTAGCATTCAAGCCTCAAGTATAAAAAATGGATGTGCTGGTGGTCTTGGATTTTAATCATATATACAATATTAGCATTTGAGTCACAATCAGAATACTGGTCAGAAAAGTTGCAGTTAATTATTTTCCATTAATTGGTCAGTGCTAACAGAGGGCCAATTTAATTTTTATGTTTAACATGTATTAAGCCTGTTCTAATAGCTTAATAAAATGTGTTTTCACAATAAGTACTTTTTTTGAAAGGTAATTTGTCTGGTCAGACTGAGTCTTTAGTCATTATTAGGAGTGGTTGAATAGCATAATGGATAATTCAGTCTCCCCATGGAAGAGCAGGGTTCAATTTCCCCATCCAGGCAGATGTCAGGAACACTACTAAAATATAAAGCTGCTGGGGCAAGACCACTAACATTCTTACTCACCTGCCGTAAACTGCCCAGGATTAAAAAGACATGCTAAAATGGCTATAGATAAAGCCTGTTTGAATGTTGTTTGTCTACTTCACAAATAAAAGCAATTTGCTAAATATGTAAACATAAGGCTGAAGTTGCTAAGATGAAGTCTAGCCTTTGAAGACAGATTCTCTGATGAGGACGTCCATACAAATATGACTCAAAATAAAAGTGACACTTGATCATCACAGAATACTGGATCTCTAATGCTGAGTCGCTGAATGCACAATTCTGGTTTGCTCCAAAAAAAGACTTTGGTAAGCAAAGTCAAAAGTGATAAATCTGAATATATCACAGTATGTTGTATTGCAATACATGGGATATTACAGTTTTTTTAAATATCACAAAAAATCATATCATGGCTCAAGTGCTATATACTGGGGTCTTCAATGATTATTCCCACCCCTGTTATGAATGCACCTACAGTGAGACTAATGATCAGACAAGTTAAAAGTGATGTAAGCTTTAAAAATGTTTTCAAGAAGTAAGCGTGGAACATCATGATGCTTGTAAAGGATACAAAGTAGTCAGCTGAGACTGCTTTATTAAAATGAATGAAAATCTGACCCTAATTCATCCACAGAGAAAAGGTACACTGTGTACAGCTGAATGAATGTTTCCCTTATGCAATCCTATGATCAGAATATGGCAGGCGAGCAGGGAATTTGATGGGCCGTTGGGCTTGGTGTTAGGGATGCTTTACTAATTCTTCCAGGCTAACACATCATGACAGTGGGAGCCCAGGTGCGCCAATAAAGACATTTCCTGTACGAACACATCGCACATAAACCTTCGTTTCCTCACCAGGATCATCTCCCAGAACTTTGCAAATGGGGACATTTATTGTGAGCTTGTGGAGTCAGTATCCATGCATCTACAAAACAGACTCTGGAAATGTTTTTTTCCTATCACAGTACTCATTGTGCTCATTTTTTGTGTAGGAGGCCTGACAGCACAGTGAATTAGAGGGGAATGCAAAACAGGAATGGTTTAGGAGGAAGTCTTTTTCCACCTTTGGATATCTCCTGAAACGGGCGAAGGGCTTAACAGTTAAAATACTGCACATACAATGACCTTGACTACCCCTCGACTGTATATCAAGATCTATATCTGAAGTTAAGAAATCACATTAATTTAACATTTTATTTGCTGCAAATGACTTAATCCCCATGTATTATGATTCATAATTGCCTTGTGTGAAGCCTTGTCAATGGGGGGGCCTCCTACATGCCTTCGATAGCATCTGAGAAGATCACTGTGGGTTTGAGGGCCAGTTTTGAAGGCCTCACAGAATCAAATAAAAAGCTCTATGCACGCAGGACAAGAGTACACATCTCACGCCAGTAGTGATGATGAGATCCAGCTATGCACTCTCACGCTGTCTGCTGTCTACGCTTCCTCACCGCAATCAGCCAAACATCTGCAGACAGCAAGAGCTTCAGTGTTTATAATGACCAATCACGAAACACCAACCATGGCAGCTGTTCGGACGAAGTCTAGCCTTTGAAGACAGATGCTCTGATGAGAAAGTGCACACAAATATGCTCAAGATAAAAGTGACACTTGATCAGCACAGAACTGCATCAACAAAAGTGCTACAGACCGGCCTTTACAGAACAAGGCACATCAAATGATGGAAAGGGCCGAGTTAACACCATCTGTGTTGAAAGCATTAGTACAGCAAGCTGATATCTTTAGGATTTGATAGCTTTTGTATGCTTGTATGGTAAACCAGGCTGAAACTATTACACATGATAAGTTAATCAGGCACTGTAAAGGAAACAGTTTACATTGCATTAGAATACATGAGGATGCACTGATGAAAGCCTAAGCAGTATGATTACTTCTCTCTCTACACATAATGATCAGTTAATAGATAGGATTAGTTAACAGATAAATAAGGTATTAGGTGTGATCTGTTACACATGATAAGTTAATCAGGCCAATTAGGTTTACATATTACATGTAATTAAAGCTGTAGTAGTAATAAATGTCTTAACTTTTCCCTCTCTTTCTTTCACAGACTCAGACCTCAGCATGCGGACACTCAGCACTCCCAGTCCTGCTCTCATCCTTAGCCCAAGTCCTTCCCCGCTCTCTCCCCAAACTGTCCCAAATGGCCATGAGTCTCCATCCCCATCCCCCACCGTTCCAGGGGAAACCGTAGCTTTGGTACATGCCCCTCCAGGAACACAGGGCTGTAAACGTTCCTCCAAGACTCACCACACTGCGCTGATTGACTTCCTCCCAGACCCGGTTCTCCTGCAGATCTTTGCTCACCTATCCACTCCGCAGCTGTGCCGCTGTGCTCGAGTGTGCCGCCGCTGGTACAACCTGGCCTGGGATCCGCGCCTCTGGAGAACCATTCAGCTTACTGGAGAGTCGCTCCATGCTGACCGTGCCCTGAAGATCCTCACCCACCGCCTTTGCCAGGACACCCCCAATGTGTGCCTGACCCTGGAGACCGTGGTGACCAGTGGCTGCCGCAGGCTTTCTGACCGCGGCCTGCACGTGGTGGCTCAGTCTTGCCCGGAGCTGCGGCGCCTGGAGGTGGCGGGCTGCTATAACGTGTCCAATGAGGCTGTGTTTGATGTGGTGTCCCGGTGTCCCAACCTGGAGCACCTTGATGTCTCAGGTAAGAAGAACAGCTAATCATTCTTGATTTTGGGATATTTAACAGTGAAAAAGAGTTCAGAGGAAAGGTCCATTAAGAGTTAAAAATCGCGGTCAACTTTTGCCATTGGTGGTAGAATAAACTGGTGGTTGATGTCTGTTCAGTGAGTGCACACGCCCGAGGGTTTGAGTTGTGAAAGGAAACGTGAATTGGATGCAACACTGACACTGACTGACTATGCAGACTTGCAGGAATCCTCACTTAATCGGACCAACATCTTTATTACAAACTAAGCTTAGATTAATTGGGTTATTTACAGTTGTTACAGACTGTATATCACATATGTATAGCTGGCATATCACAGTCTTGTTGTGACAGGTGGTGCTGGAGGTATTTAATTCAGCGCGTGAGTGTAGTTATCTCGCTCTAGACTCCTATGCTTTCATATTTATGAGTGCGGCACGATTACTGCATCATCAGGGGGGCAGTAACGCTGGTTGACTGATTTGCATACTGTGACGTGTCTTCATACTTCAGTATGAAGATACGTCATCCGAGCCTATAGCAGAGTTGAACCAGAGAACTGACCATGATAAAAATTATATTTTTACAGTTTGGAACGATGTGTTCAAATTTTAAGCAAGGCTGTATATTTTATTATTTCAGAGCAGTACATTTCAGCTGTTAATAAAAACAAAAGGTCTTAGGGTGTAGTTACTCTTTAACCAAGTTCTACTTTTTCAGTGTGCTTGTATTGGGGGAGGTTACAAAAGGTTACAAAATTTTCTTACACGTTGCATGCAATTATGCATTTCCACCAGAGAGGTCTTCAAATCCCCAAAACAAACACAGAGTGGCTTAAAAATGGGACGAAATATGCTTGGATGGCTGTCAATATACTTTTTTAAGGGCCAAGTGTAGCCTTTGTGTGGGGAACACTGAAAGAACAGTAAAAGATTTAATTTGTGCACTGTAAAAGTGACAGTTTTCCTAGAGTATGTGCATTTCCATGTTATGCACTGACATACTCTACAAACACAGGGTAGTCAACACACACAAAGTATTATCAATTGATTACTCTTGAGCATAATCTGTATTTTATATTGCGGAATAGCTGCCATCATACATCATGCTGCCATGTAAGTTTGTGGATTTGCTGGGAGAGTAATTCATCGCAGTGCTGCTTTTCTGGGAAAGCTGGGAAAAGCATTACAGAATGGGGGGATTACTGCCAGTCCTACAGTTCCCCCTGGGGGATGGAGAGGTCTGCCTTGTTCTCAGAGTCAGAACCTCAAGGAGAGTGGAAGGGTCGGTCTGCTGCTTTCATTAATGGACTGACACACTTGAAAAGTCTTTGGTGGGCAAAGCTAATGTTGGACCATTCAGAAAAGGAAGTAAATCCTTTGTCATAAATAGCCTTTATTTGTTGTGGTTGTACGTGCTGAGACAGAGTGAAAAAAGGCATATCACTTCACATGGGAGGAAAGCAGACACTGGAACATTTCCTTTGATATGAAATTTTGCTCTGCACTTCTTTTTATTTTGCTTTGACTTTTCCCCAGTGTATTTATGTTTTTCACCCAGAGTTCACAAGCAGAAGTTAAACATGAGCCAAGATGTTGGAGCTTTAAAAGACACATAACCTTTTCTTTTGGTGTGTTTTATTAATGGCAAGGCTCCATCCCACCAATCTGATCCTTTGGCACAATTGGAGGAACAGGAAGCACATCGGATGCCCTGGACATACTGAGCTTTTGGTCTGTGGATTTTAAAAAAGCAAAAAATCCTTTAAATCCCTGAAAAATCTAAAGTGTGACCTCAACCAAGAACGGCTAAAATGTTTTAACACTCTTAGGATACAGTAGCAACCTTAAACACAGCCTCATGCTCATATAAATATACACTTTTTCTCATCCATGTGCAAAATGTATCACAAAAAAAAACAAAAAAAAACAAAAACATCAGTCTTAACCCCTTAAATGGTGAGGGCCCACAGGCGTAAATCTTTATCACACACTTCTATAACCTAAGAATAGCTCAGCCAGTTTGCATTGAAGTCCCTGTAGTTACTGAATAATACGCCTTAGTATGAAATTCCAACAAAGCAGGAGATCACCTGATCAAACGTTTGAAGACTGAGATGAACTGATTAAACAAGTGGAGACGGTGTGCTCCAGCTTGTTTGGAGTGAAAACCTGCAGCTACACTGGCCCTCTCAGATAAGATGGACACCCCTGAGTTAAACCCTTAAATTCCCAGCCTTGTTACATATTAAGGCTTATTATTATGTAACTACATGGAAAGATAATGCAAACTAACTATTATAGAGGTTAAAAGGCCTTATTTTTCTTTTTTTCTTTTTTTTACATTTTATTATTCCATTAGTCTGCTAATGACTTTTTTGTTTTACACACCAACTTTATTTTAAGCTGTACTTTATTGTGCCTTTAAGACTGATATATATATAGGCTGAATGTGCAGTCATGTCCACAGTTGTGACATCACAACCATTATGAATTCAACACAAGCTAGTTTTTATGTATGGACTTTTTGAATGGTGCATTACCAGTGTTTACACAGTACATCAATTTCAGAAAAGCAAGCAAAACTCTGTCATATGGGTCTTTTAATGGAGTGCTCAAAACTTAGATGAAGAATTTAGATGAGCCACTTGAAACTTGTAACCGTTTTCTTGTCTTTCAGGCTGCCCCAAAGTGACCTGCATTAGCCTGACCCAGGAGACCTCAGTGCAGCTCTCCCCGATTCATGGCCAGCAGATCGGCCTGCGCTACCTGGACATGAGTGACTGCGTCTCTCTGGAGGACGAGGGTCTGCGTGCCATCGTGTCACATTGCCCCCGCCTCACGCACCTGTATCTGCGGCGCTGCAGCCGGCTGACAGACGAGGCCCTGCGTCAGCTGGCCCTGCACTGCCCCGCCCTGCGTGAGCTCAGCCTCAGTGACTGCCGGCTGATGGGTGACTTCGGCCTGCGTGAGGTGGCGCGCCTGGAGGGCCGTCTGCGCTATCTGAGCGTGGCCCACTGCACACGCATTACTGATGTTGGCCTGCGTTATGTGGCCCGCTACTGCCCCAGGCTCCGCTACTTGAACGCACGGGGCTGTGAGGGGCTCACAGACCAAGGCTTGGGCCACCTGGCCCGCAGCTGCCCCAGGCTGCGTTCGTTGGACGTGGGCCGCTGCCCACTGGTGTCGGACATGGGGCTGGAGGTTTTGGCGCACTGCTGCCTGGGGCTCCGGAGACTCAGTCTGAGAGGCTGTGAAAGCATAACTGGGAGAGGGCTGAGGGCACTGGCTTCAGGTTGCCCTGAACTGCAGATGCTTAATGTACAGGAGTGTGAGGTGCCCCCGGAGGCACTGCGACTGGTCCGACGCCACTGCAGACGCTGTGTGATTGAACACACCATCCCGGCCTTTTACTGAGTGCAGGGCAGTGAACTGTTCTGTTCTGACAAGCGGATAATTTCACTTAGCCGCAGCTTTATGGTCAGTTGCTGTGGAATTTATATGATGTATAAAGCACTATTAGAGCTGGATTAGTTTCATCTGGGGAGATGCTATAATTCAAAAGAGAATTCCAATGATTTCAGATGTTCTCTATAATTCAGTCATAGAGATGTAAACCAAATCATTCAGAGTGGTCTGATGTGAAGTGGTACATTGAAGAGACACTTATCAACTGAGATTTCTTTATAGTGGGGTTGATAGGAACCCACGGTCATAATTTCTACAACGCAATTTTATTTAGTTTTGAAAAAAATGACCAGTGAACGTGAGTCTTCATTTTATATGTAATGCTGATGATGAAAAAATAACTTTGGGGATTATTTTGCTTTACAACAGCGAATATATACCTCTCTGCCATGAAGGTATTTTAAAAAAAAAGTTTTAGACCCATCTCCAAACTACTGTCAATCTATGTCTCAGACATCAGGCAGCGTATTTGTAACCATTTCATGTAATAATTTTCTGCAATGTAGATTTTAGAGGCGTTAAACTCTTAAGATGTCTGGTTCGTATCACTGCCACTGAACAACTCTGACTCGGTAAGTTTCTTAGCAACAGAGCATTTCACATCAAACCACTCTGAATGACTCTGTTTACATCTTAACCATTTAATTATGCAGAATTTTTGAAAAATCTGTGGATTTTAAGTGATTACTGACTTTTATTTCAGTCTAGTGCAAATCTGGATAAAATCTGGATTTTTTACAAGTCTGACAATTAATAATTCCAAAGTTATTTGTTCTCTCTGACTGGCTGAACCCAAACTCATTAGTAATAGTAGGCTTGTTTCTTTGCACGCTAATGGCCATGCACCATGTTCTTATTATTTTTAAATATTTTTAAACACCTGTCTGTACTAATTAGATACCTCATCCTGTACAAATTGGTCACTCAAATCAACTAAATCAACAAAATTTATAGTACTGAGCCTTCTCCGATAGAACTAATCCCGCTCAAATAGAGCTTAAGATTACTTTGCGTGCAATATGTGCCTCTGTTAGTAGTTATGCAGTCCTTGCCAATATGTGCGTAAAAGTATTTATCAGACAAAAGGGTTACATTACTATATAAGCTGGTATTCAAACAACAGTCTAATATGTCTGTCTAGGACAGAAGATGGTGTATCTCCATAATTTTTAATTGTAATACTGAACTGACTCATGCTGGATCTGCAGCATTACCACTTACTTCATTGCCTTTTTTAATCCAAGTTTTAAGACGCTGGTTCTCAACCTCTGCCCTGCACAGTTCATTGTCTGCCTGCTTTAACACATATTTGAAATAGTTGAATCAGGTGTGTTGGAACAGAGGGAACGCCAACAGGTGCAGCATAGGACTCTTAGAGCATGGTTGAGAAACACGGCTTTAAGGGTATTTGAGAGCATGTCTGTTCTTTTGTCCTTCTAGTGCCTGTATAATGATGTGTTTTATGTGGGTACTTGCACTTTAAAAGTCTATCTTTGACAATCCATGACAATCACTATCAATGTATTGAAAAGTGTCATCTTTATGTAGCTGTATAAACGTAACTTTGGTTAAATAGCCACTAATGATAACGGGAATAGAGAATAAGGGAACAGTTATCTGGGGGTTGGTTTGAAGAAATGATACATGAAAAAAGCAGTGCTGCTACAAATAAAGGGCTACTTATTTAACATCCCTTAAACATTTGACTTTTTTCGTTTCCAAAGTACGTATTTGAACACAATTATAAATATCCCAATTGCTGTACAAACAGCAAGCTGATAAACAAAACATGGGGTTCATCTTATTTCAGAAAACTCCATCAAAGGCTGCAGTGTGTACAGTTTTCTGTTCCTCCCTCACACCACAACTGCAGCCCTCACTGCGTTCCTCTGGCTAGAGGTACGTTTCTTAAGCAACATGATACATCTAACATTGTGAACCAACTGTGTTTCGTATCTCTAACTCAGAGCACGCACTCCCTCCGAACCAGAGAATAAAACAATAGTGCTTCATTGCCAGGAAGTTCTTGCCAGGTTCTTGCAGATCAACTGCGAGAGAATCGCTGGCTCTGAGCCTGATTTTGTGTTCTGTCTTCAGTGCTGCCCTCTGTTGGTCTCAAACCGCTCCTGTCTAGATGGACTCTCAAGATACGAAGAGTTGATTGGAGCCATATGGATTTTGGAGACATAATATTTAGAATAAATTTGGATCATTGGTGATGGAAAACCTCGTCGTGTCAGAAAATGAAAGGCAGGAACATGTAGAATAAGACAAACCTTTTTTTTAATTTCATGTGTCCTTGAGGACATACATATTGAGATGGACAAAATAACAGAAACATCACACAAAAAAAAATGCATGGCATTTGGCAGAATGGAGAATTGCAGTAACATGTCATCACCACTGAACACTTAGCAGGTCAGCCTCCTCTTTTGAGAGGAAACAAGCTGAGAGAGACCAAGAATATACACAGTTTTTGTCACTAAAATAACACGTTAATTCTTTACTTTGTGGCCAAATGTTGACATTACTGTCAGTCAAAAATCTTTACTTCATTTATATTCCTTGTGTAGCAGAAGAACATGAGTTTCAATCTTTAAATGTTAACCATAAAACCATATTACTGTACTTACAGGGGTACACAGTAGGTGTAGGCTACCTGATAAGTCAAGCACAACTAATAAAGAAGCCACGTCACTGCATATCACTGAATAAAACAAGTGGTTTGTGATATGACTTGGTTTAAATCTTTCCAGAACTGGGTTTTCAAAGGTTTGGCCTTGATTGGTGCAGACCCCAATTTTGTCCATATTTTGTCAGTTTTTATAGATAAAAGCATATTTGAAAATAAGTCTATTTGTTATAACATGGTTTGTAATAAGTGTTTGAGGTTAAGGTTTGCAGTTTGCACAGTGCTAATTGGTGGAGAAAAAGATTTCATTACTTGTTAGCTACATTAGCTTCACAGCTCCAGTGAAAAACTACACACACACACACACACACACACACACACACATTTTCTAAGCCGCTTATCCTTCTGGGTCGCGTGGAGTACAAAACTAAAGAAGCAGAAATCACTCCAGATGCCACCCAAGTCTAGGCTGATCAGTACAGAGTAGTATTGTGGGGTAAGAGGTTTATTGTGTGAATTAGATTTTTTTTTACATTTCTTTCTCTTTTTTGACAAACTAAACCTTTAATTTCAACCTTTCTAGAAGGAAAATATCTACACTTCAATGCAATATCTATCCATTTCACAAAGCACAGTTTTACAGTCAGCCGTACCTTAAGCCAGTCTGTCCAATAGGAGCAAAGTTGTTTCCGATTAGGGAGTTTAGCATTTGGCTTAAATTATCTAGTTTACTAACAAAATCCTGTTTTGTGAAATACTCCCTTTGTTAATCACTAGAAATCATCTTCAGCACTAGTAGATCATGTAAAGAGATTTTATTCCAAGTAAGTTTGGAGCATTTCTATTGGTCCATTGATCATGAAATGTAAAGGTGCTGTTGTGCTTAAATGATGTAGTAAAATAAAAATCTAAAAAAGGAGATTTATTATTTATTTTTTTATTGTGGATAGCGACTATATTTCTTAATATTCAAAATATGAGCAATATACAATATCTCAATATATATGATGTCTTAGTACATTGTACATATATTTTGTGTATATACATACATGGACAAGACACTTCATTATGACCACCTCCTTGTTTCTACATTCATTGTCCATTTTATCAGCTCCGCTTACTATATAGGTTCACTTTGTAGTTCTACAATTACAGACTGTAGTCCATCTGTTTCTCTGCATACTTTGTTAGCCCCCTTTTACCCTGTTCTTCAGTGGTCAGGACCCCCATGGACCCTCACAGAGCAGGTACTATTTGAGTGCTGGATCATTCTCAGCACTCCAGTAACACTGATGTGGTGGTGGTGTGTTAGTGTGTGTTGTGCTGGTATGAGTGGATCAGACACAGCAGTGCTGCTGGAGTTTTTAAACACTGTGTCCACTCACTGTCCACTCTATTAGACACTTCTACCTTGTCAGTCCACCTTGTAGATGTAAAGTCAGAGACAATAGCTCATCTGGTGCTGCACAGTTTGTGTTGGTCATCCACTAGTCTTTCATCAGTGGTCACAGGACGCTGCCCACAGGACGCTGTTGGCTGGATATTTTTGGTTAGTGGACTATTCTCAGTACAGCAGCGACACTGAGGTGTTTAAAAACCCCAGCAGCACTGCTGTGTCTGATCAACCCAGACCAGTGCAACACACACTAACATGCCACCACCATGTCAGTCTACAGTCTGGACTACATACAGTTTGTAATTGTCATATGGGCAGCATCCTGTGACCACTGACGAAGGACTAAAAGATGACCAAAACAAACTGTGCAGCAACAGATAAGCTACTTAAGGTGGACCAACGAGTGTCTAATAGAGTGGACAGTGAGTGGACACAGTGTTTAAAATCTCCAGCAGCACTGTTGTGTTTGATCCACTCATACCAGCGCAACAAACACTAATATGCCATCACACTAACATGCCACTTAACAAACAAACAGTGTCACTGCAGTGATGTGGCTCTGCGGGGGTCCTGACCACTGAAGAACAGGGTGAAGGGGGGTAACAAAGTCTGCAGAGTCCGTAATTGTAGAGCTACACCTATATGTAAGTGGGGCTAATACAGTATAGAAAGAAGCAGATGTACTGAAAAAAGTGGCCAGTCAGTGTATTTGTATATGTAATACATATGTTTACATTTATGCCAGATATGAAAATATTTCGAAATTATGATACACATTTTGAAAATCATATATACAGTTATTTCCTTTGTATGTGGGGTACCACGAAAATGTTTACATATTAGCTACGTAAAACTCTTAAATAGCAAATAAAATGTGATTTTTCCACTAATGGGCCCTTTAAATGACTCCGGCTGTACTGTACAGTAGGCGGCAGCAGTCACGGAGCTCTAACAGCAGCAGAGACCGCAGAGAGGACGAGTTAACTTACCGACCCGGCACTGAACACGACAACAACAAAGCCAGTCAGCCTCCTGTTTCTCTACCAAACATTACAGCCGTTTAACTACTTAAGACTAAAAGAGCCCGAAACATGGCTCAGAAGATAAATGAAGCTCATGAGCACATTGCCAAGGCTGAAAAATAGTAAGTTTTGCCGGCCGCTGTTTACGTTAGCTACTCTGACAGCATATGACGTTAGCAAACAAGCTAGCTAGCTAACCTAGCTACCTGGCTAGTTAGTGACATTTACCATAACATTAGACTGAGGTCGCTTTTCATCGAAAAATAACATTTATAAGGGTTTTTAACATCAGTCAGTACATCAGCACACAGACACCGACATTAGTCGCTCTTACATTCCTCGTATTACCACGACGGGTTCAAAATATAGTTATAAATATAACAACATATCTCGGTTCAGCACAGCAATGCTAATCTGTTTTTTTTACGAAGAGTAATAGCCAAGTTACAGAATACATCAGTTGTTGAGACCTTTCCGTTCATTTTTCAGCCTAAAGACGAGTTTTATGAAGTGGAAGCCGGATTATGACAGCGCTGCGTCGGAATATGCGAAAGCAGGTAACGTTAACGTTAAAAGTCAAGGCATCATCTTCTACTGGATAGTTTATTTTTGTGGATATGTAACTAGGATGGCTGGAGATGCATTGTGTTTGTCTTGCATTTAAATGTAAGATACGTGTCTGTTCACTTTCAGCTGTCGCTTTCAAAAACGCCAAACAACTTGAAGAGGCGAAAGATGCTTACCTGCAGGAGGCTGAGGCCCACACCAACAACAGATCGTATCCTTTCCCTGATTACTGCCTTTCTGTAGAAGTAGTGGCTGTGTAATGTGAACCACGCTGTACATCCAGGAGTTTCCAGACACCCCTTCTAATTAGTGAAGGCAGCTACTTCAAGGTGCACTTGTGGTTGCCAGAGTTGGGCAAAATAGTTTTTAAAAAATAGTGGTCTGAATACTGAACACACTGTCAGAAATGCAACATGTTCAGTAACATGTTCCATTACAATACACAAAAGTAAAATATTCAGAATGCGTTTAGAATACATGTTGATGAGGTACATGGGAAAAACTTATTTACTCAGGCTTTAGCAAGAACTTAAGTATTTGTGAAGTATTCAGTAATTGCGGTCCTCTGTAGAGCATATTTGCCATGCTGCACTTATTTTAAAATACTTAACAAACAAGTTATGATGTCTTTTTCGAAGATTGTTTTTTATTTTGTAAAACTTAAAGAGTCTGTATTCTGAATACTGCCGTGTAACATGGACTGAATACAGATACTTCTGTATTCTGAATATATATTCCATAAGACTTGTATTCCGTTGCATCCGAACTCTGCCCATTGCTGACACAGGCCTTCAGTTCGGCGCACTCAGGTTATCTAATCTCCATAGAACAGCATTGCTAATAGAGTGGGACACTCTGGAGCAGCTGCACTTGAGCCTCAGGGCACCATTTCCAATGCAAAGCATCAGCTAGAGAGGTATAAAGAACCCCAGCATTGGGTGCAGAGCAGTTGAACTGGTTTCTCTGTAGTGATGGAGCTCTATTAAATACCTTCAGAATGAGCTGAAGTGGCATTTTTATAAAATCAGATCCAGAACCAATCATCCAACATCAGAACCTGACCTCACTAAAGCTCTTGTAGCTGAATAAAGTGTAAAGTGTAAAGTGTTCTCAGAAGCATAGATACTGTTAGTGTAGCAAACACGAGCAAAATCCCTACTAATACC